GAAAATGGCTGCCGGCACCTGGAATCCTCGCTGAACGGGTAAGTAACGAAGGTATTGGAACAAATTAAACGAAGTTTAATGCGTTCCAATACCTTTCCCCTACCCATTTAGCAATGATTCCGTATAGCGAGGGTTAATCCGGAACGGATTAACCTCGCTATACGGGGCACCACTGTAGTTAATGAAGTTGTGCCGCATGTTTTAATCCAACAATCTGTGTCTCACCTTGTTGTTTCTGGGTAGGAGGGCAAGTATTTTCCTTCCAACACTGAAGCAGCTCTGTGCAGTTTTTTAAAAGGACTGCTGCAACGTCAGCATGCCAACAAAGGAAACTAGCAATAGGAGTGGGCAATATACCATACTAATTTCCTTCCATCTCTTGTGCTTTACAGGCTTTACTTTGTAAGCAGGGAGTTTGGTCATTGAGAAGAAGGTTGCGGATCAAACTGAACTGCAGAAGAATTTGCAGGTTGTAATATTAAAAGGTAAAGTGAATGTTATAGTCCTTGAAGCCACCACCAAGGAAGCCTGGTTCCTAGTTGTAAATTTCCAGGCCAATCTCAGGTTGGCGGCTCACAGCGTTATAACTTGAGTGCAGCGGGTGGAACAGTGGACGATCTCGGGGAGATGTGTTCAAACAAGTAATGAAGTCCTAAACCATTAGTTGCTGTTGGTATTTGTTCACTGTATTGCGCCGGAGATGGGTGGAAGTTTCCGATTGACCCTGCCATCCTAACAGTACCTTCTACAACTATTAAGTTATTATTTTCTTCCTTTTTCCATATAATTAAATTATTTTGTAGGTAATAAAAGAATTATAGAATACTTAACAATATGTAGACTCCTCCTAGGTATCTTGAGCAAGCAGGAAATGTCATTAATAATGTTGTCCACAACTCTTTGGTTACCAAAATGTATTGTATCAGTGTAAAATATGTCTCTGTCAAGATAAAACACTACAGTTTATAAACAAATGAATAATAAATAGTCTTATAGGTATCTAATGTTTCATAAGGAACACTTCAGTGTTCATAAATGTTTAGCTAAATGGCCACCAGTAAAGCCCTCATTTTTTCCCCTGTCTTCAGCAGATAGTAGTGGTTTAATTTCATATAAAAGAAACAAAGGGAGTATTTACAGCATTTCTAATGCAGAATGTCCACAGCAATGAGGCACTGATTGGGATCATAGCTAGGACTGAGGAGTCTCTAATTCAAATTCCTGTCCAAGTATGAGACTTGAAATGCGTCAGTCTAACCTACCTTTCAGGATTGTGAGCACAAAAAGAACTATAAGTATGTGCTTCCTTGAACTTCTTAGAGGAAAGGCAGGATATAAAAGACTTCTTTAGTTACTGGTAAGGGTGAAATATAAACAATCTGAAATGCTTCAAAAAGCATTGTATCATGAAATATAACATTCCAATTTAATATAGTTTTTCAAATGTGTATATGTTTTAGTTTTATAACTACATAAACATAATTATTACCTTTTCGTTGCATAAGTGTTTGTCTGCACCAGCTTGTAAATAATAGCTAACATTTTAAGGAACAGAGCTGAAATATAAAATGAAACCTGATATTATTAACCCTACTGAAAACACCATCATACTTTCAGATATTATCTTTTTTAAAATACTGGGAATTTCTCTGGGCATAAGTATTTGTAAATGAAATTTGCATTCATAGATACATGTTCCTTGCTACAATTATAAGTGTCCTGTCTTAAGTCAGAATAGAGATCAGGTCTCCCACATCCCAATATTCCACCTTGTTCTTTGCCTGTACACTGGCCTGTATTACAAGGAAAACTTTGTGTCATTGGTTATAATGTTTTTACTGCAAATGTGTCCCATTTTCAGACTTAATTACCATGATCCAAATTTTGTTTTAAAGCATTTTTATATGTTACTAGTTGTGCCAGAATGGGGATGTGGTCCAATCAGATGGGCAAATCATTGCAAGCAGTACAGGGCATACAGTCATCAGCCATGTCCAAATGCAGTCTCAACTATTTTTATATATTGGTCATCTGGATGTCTGTGGTTTTTGACAGCAAGTGATATATGTACAGTAAGCCTGGTTGTACAGGCAAATCTCCTTAATCACATAATGAAATATTATCAAACATAAAAGAAAAGGAACTGTGTTGCTGGAAAAGGGATTAACTTGCCTCATGAAAATTTGAGCCCTGTCTCACTAGCCCTTGACAATGACAATAACCATGGATAGAATGAATGTTGTTGCTTTAGACTTCCACAAATTTTAGGACAACGTCCCTCACCATAGCTGTATCAGTACCATATGTATAGGTTTAAAATGGTTTTCAAAACATTGCGTACTGCAGATTGTAACAGAAAAGAAAAATAAATCACATGGTGTTTTTATCTTACCGTATGTTGTTGCTGATTTAGGACAGTCACTTCTTATTTTCCTTATTGTACATTTAGATGTCATCTGCAAACCTACACAGTCTTCAAACCTGTGATGTTATCAATTAATCCAGACATTTATAAAAATAAATAACTGCATTGTGTTTTTAGTTCATATTATCTTGTGCAATTTAAAGCAAATCTTTATGAAAAGAGATCAGGAAAAGTCAAAGGTTCTGATGCAATTAAGTCAGATGTGATTATGACTCCAGTCATGGAATGACATCAGCCTTGGTTGCTTACTTAGCCTTGTCAGAAGGACAGATGGAGTTTGGCCACATTACTTTTATTTGATCTATTGAGTTTCTTATACTTGAATAAGAATAAAGAATAAGCCATGTGACTGGCATGTGGTGAAGAACACAACTGCAAGCTCTTTAACTAGTAGCAATTCATGGCTGCAGTTTACGTGGTGCCTAATGTTGGTGCATCTGTGTAATAAGATTCTGTCTAATTTAGTTTGCAGTTCTGCATTTTGGATTATATTTACAGTGTCTGGTGTGATATTCCCTTTATCTCTTTTGTAATTCCAAAGACATTTGGATTTCAATGGCTTCCCTCTGCAGTTTGTGCAATCCACAAGCACCAGCAGAACTTCAAAAAAAGAGAGGAAAGTTTGAAACTCAACAAAACTTGGCTCCCAGCTCTCAAAAATACAGCATGCAAAAGGTCAATGACCTCTACCCAGCCGCAAGGACTGGGGATCACTACACACAAAAAACCAGCTAATGAGACCCATCAGTCACAGTGACAGATAATCTCTCCTCCTTATCACAACAATACACCACAACAAGACACATTAATCACCCATCTCCTGAATAGGACAAAAGCCTATCTCACAGCCATAAATACTCCACTCCCAAGCAAACTACACCAGAGCACAGAGTGCTGTCCTCTGAAGATGCCGGCCACAGAGACTGGCGTAACGTTAGGAAGAAAAACCTTCAGAACACGGCCACAGAGCCTGAAAAGCCCATAACAACCATTAGATGCCGGCCGTAAAAGCCTTCGCAAATACATTAGATTTTTTTTCTTTATTTTAAACAATTTTCTCTGATGTTATTTAAAGGAAAGAAAGAGAAATTGGGCAAACTTGCTGATGTAATAGCATCACAAGATAAAAATGAGAGGGCAGTATCCATACTGTAAGTGTGCATTTAATTACTATAAAAACATACAATTTAATACATTGTAATTCAGAAAAAAGTCTATTGTTTTTACAATATGTACTGTAAATGTACCTTTTCCAACTTTTAACATAGATGTTATGTTAAAATGAGTCTTGCCCAAACTGTTCCATGAGTCAAAATTTGGTATGTTACTTAGTCGTTGGCTTGTGTTTGTTACATGTTAATTTTAAAATATATATTTTAGAGGCTCTAGGGTGAAGGTTCAGTAGGCAATGTCTAACATCAGATGTGTACAACTCATTGTACAGATATAGAAAAGATGGTTTTGTTCCTGCCCATGGGTTACTCTTTGTAAACCATGGGGGAGGTCCCCCTAAAAATTGACAGTTATGTAATGAGAACGAAATGGCAATCAAATTGGTTCATTAAGGTTCATTGATTATTTGTCTCTGGAAGTAGCTGTGATTCCTGTGTGTTGTCAATTATTCTCTGTTACAAATAATACTGCTTCTATAAGGACTGTTCAGGACACTTAGTAAAGTATAATTTGTAGGACTCCTTAGAAAACATACTGTTATTTGTAAGATATGTACAAGAAATGCGGTTAGGAAATTGCATTAGCTACACCACTTTGCTACTTTTCAAGGGTCTTTTAGTATTTTTCTAACTTGAAAATGTTTGCTATAAAATATGTAGCATTTACTTCTATAGTAATATGTATTAGATTTAAAAGTGATAAATTAACATACTGTTGGTAAGTGAAATATCTATGAAATATCAATGAAATATCTAATGAATTGATTAGAAAATAATATACTGTATTGCAAAATTTGAGTTAGCTGCTTTTTAATGCATTACCTTTTTTTTCCTGAAGGTGGCAGAAGACACTATGCAAAAGACTTTTGCTTGTAAAACCTGGGATTCCTCAATCTATTTTGTTGTATCTAGACATAGTAAAACAGACCTACCGAATCCAGTGGGACTATGTTAGTAATTAACGTCTTCCAATTCTGCACCCTGAATGTGGCAAAACATCTAAAATGTTGTGATTTAAGAGTCATGATGGATATAGAGACTAAATCGCAATTACATCATATTTCCTGTACAGCTGGTGAATAAGATTCATCTAGACATCAGCAGTAGTCAACTTTTTCTTGTTTAGGCCTGCTGTGCACATTTCATAATTCAAACTACCATAAAATGAAAAATAGAGATAAGTCAAAGTTTGAGGAAGCTTTCTTTAGTCTTTTTACACCAAATATAGTTTTTGCATTTTGTGATAAAAGCTCTGTCAGGTGTCTGGAATTTCTTAAATTAATATTATTACTTCCTCATCTACTAAGGCCAACAGTTTCTGTCTCTTCCTAATTCATATACCATATTGTACCCAAACTCATTGTTTTAGGCAAATAACTTCATTTGTCCCTGCAATGTTCTTATTTATTATATGGATATTACATATTTCTTTCATAGAACTCCAGGCATTATATACTGGCTTCAAAGACAGTTTCCCATTTTGCTACTGACTAACCCTAGACTTAGGAGACAGCTATACTGGCCATTTATCCTGCATTTTATTGCAGATTGGGACAGATAAATTCAAATTAAAATCCAGTGACTACACAATATAATCCTCAATGCAAGGAAGCTCACTGTGGACTATCTTTTTTGAATGGAGAATTGTGTGTTTTGTTTAGCCAAAAACCATGGTTTCCATTTGTTCCAATCAAGTTGATATTACTTTTTTCTGCTTTCTGTCTGTGTGATTACTTGATTTGATGCAAAGAGGGGCTCACAGGCTGGTGGTGGTAATCATTTCACCTCAACTATGTGCCTCTATTCTCCACAGTTCCTTTTTTTAAAGATTTCAACTCAGCACTGGAACACAGTGTTGCTAGGGCACTTAGGAGAACTGTGTAAACAAACTGTGCTGCTTATATACCGCCCCATAGTGCTTCAAGCACTCTCTGGGTGGTTGTTAATTATTCAGGCTACACATTGCCCCTCCCAGCGAGCTGGGTACTCATTTTACTGACCTCGGAAGGATAGAAGGCTGAGTCAACTTTGAGCCGGCTACCCAGGATTGAACCCCAGGTTGTGAGCACAGTTTTAGCTGCAGTACAGCAGTTTAACCACTGCACCACGAGGCTCTGTAAACAAAGAGAGCAAGAGGTTGAAATCAGCCCATAGCGCCTTGTTAACATATTAAAGCAGCCAGCCCCTCTCTTTCCATTAACTTTTTATACCACTTTCCTTTTCAAGAATATAGATCAGCTGAAAAAATTCCTCTTCATATCACTTTTTAATACACACTAACAGTTGATTTCTCTCTTCAGCATTTCTCTTATCACTAAGGCCACAAGCCAGTTGTTAATCTCACTAGAGTAACCCTATTGAATTAATTAGACCTAGATAACTGATTGGCTAGAGTTCCACTGATTCAGTAGATATACTATACTGTAGTTGGAACCATCAAATTTAGGCCTACTATTTTAATGGATTACTTAAGAATGTGAATGATCACCCATTACTGAGACCTGTTCTAGTGAATTTTTCACCACACTGCACCATGAGAAGCCATAGTGAGTTTAGCTGGATTGTCATCTATTGAGCTGATTGTGTAAGTAGCATTCCAAAGCACTGACTAAAAACTGCAGATATCACATACTGGAAGGATTGTAAGAATAGGTCTGTAATCTCGGCAACATTATACCAGGCATAGAACCTCATTCAACATGGAGGGGGGGTAGAATAACTGATCAATGTAATGTGGACTCCACCCTCAAATCTGATACAAGGAAGGGCAAATCAATACATTTTAATAAATAACCAACATTTTAATTATGATAAATTAAATTCGCAAGCATGGTTTAAAATACCTACTGTATATTTGCCCAGTCAGATCTATTTTTCAAGAAGAGAACAGGTGCTTCATTTCTGGACAGGCTTGTAATAGTCTCTTCAATAACATTTTCGATTGCTTTAAGAATCTCAGAGCTAAAACAAGTTATAATATATAGTATTAAATAGCATGTACACCAATTCCACAATCTCCAATGAAACTTAAAAACACAAAAATTTGGTTAATTTATTTGTTGATTTATGAAGATGCAAGTGCAACCCCCATGAAATATTGGTTCAGTTCAAAGGGATGGCTGTGAGTAAGAGATTTAAATCTCAGAAAGATTGGGAGAGCTGAAAGGGCTGAAGCTGTTGTTGTCAGTTGGATTGCAAAGGCCCTTGCCAACTTGGTTTAAGTATTGTTAGCTACCTAGAGTGGTCCTGACCCAATCAGATAGGCAGGATATAAATAAAATAAATAAATAATAATAAATAAATAAGTATAATTTTAATCTGTTTGTGCTGGAGGGGTGAATCTAGATAGTGAATTCATGAAGTGCATACAATTGTTTTGATATTTTATTGTAGGCTTTGAAGATTCTCCTGTGTTATGGATACCCAACCCAGTTGAGGAAGATATCTTGGATTTTTGTTTGACTTTGAAATCAAATGGACACTTGAATTTTGTAAATTTTACAAGCAACTTCTGTATTGTTGCAAAACACTTGGGTGTACCAATTACAGCATTTTGTTATTTTGATTGCTCATGTTGACTGTTACATGGATGCAAGTAAAAAGACACCTATTTTGGGAAAGTGTGTTTGCAAGATTCATCAATAGTAAGCCAATAGCCCTTTAAATCTTAACAGTGTTGCACAAAAAATATTTCATTGCAATTTGTCTTGCTTTCAGTACTCTTAACAATTTTAGTTTGTTATTCTACTGTAAGCGTCAACATTAGGAAGTAGATTGCTAGCCACTCCTGATTTTTTTTCCAGCCAGCCAAACATTTGGCTCAACTGGTTTAAAACAGCTATGATTAATGTTTTAAATCAATGATGTAATATTAACTTTGGCCAGAGTCTGACTTAACTTGTTTTTAAATGCTGTAAACTTCAAAAAAATGTTCAAGGGTATAATAGAAGTACTTCCTCTTTACCATAGCACATTAACCTTTTGATCTAACACTTTGAATGAATGCCTGTGGTTTTTAATTATATGAAGGTTTTGGCTGGATAGCAACATTGTGTGTGTGTGGCGGGGGTAGATAAAATGTGTTATGAACTGAACTAAAAGCACTAGTAGTGCTGCTCCTAATTTAAAAAATAGGAGGTTGCTTTGAACTTCCAGAGAACAAAATACAGTACCATTTTTGCTTAATTTTTGAGCCCCCTGCTCCACAGTTGTGTAACATTGTTCTTGGAGGACCATGTGTGGAGCAAAACGTTAATAGATGGGAAATTCACATATAACTTGTATCTTTAGTACAAATAAACATAAGCCAAAATGTGGAAAAGTACTTTAGTTATTCCAAATCTTTTATTTTTCTAAAAAATATTTATATTTGAGATGCATATATCATGTCATATCACAATTTCAAAAATAGTTTCACCTGTGAATGAAGATGGTGGGTTGGAAAGAAGTTTGGTTTCAGTTCAAAGGACAGAAGCCCAAAGCTTCTTTTACCATGCAGAACCACTTGTGAGGTTCTTGGGTCCAAACTAAACAACTAATTCTGAATGATCACATTCAGTTGTGGAAGAGAACATGGCAATTTTTTAAATAGGAGCACATTTATGGAATACAGTATATCACAGTGAACCGCAGACACTTACAATCTACTTCCTTCCTATTAAGAAACTACTTAGTTCTTTTTGAAGATGATTGCATATTACTCATGTCTTTAAAAGGAGGAAATCCTCAGAATCAGAAGCATATTCTATAAGGCATGCACAATGAATCCCTGTTTTTCAGATATATTTACTTTGGATATTCCCCATACTTGAGGCTGAAAGGCTTAAAAATAAAATTGATTTGATGGAGAAAGTAATCAAAAATGGTTAGTTGAAACTGTTGGTTTGCAATGATTTCTACTGATACTTTTTATCAAGTTACTTCTGATTCATTCAGTTCCTGCAGTTATAACTTTTATATCATTTATGACACGTGTATTGAATCTTACTACTGTTCTGTACAGTATATGTCAAAGTATCAGACAGATATTTTTCTGTTTCATCTTTAGAAATGTGTGGGTAAGTAAACAGTGCCAAATGATAAATCCAGTTTTCACATCCAGGCTTAATGCCTGGGGTTGAGAGCCAACAGAAGTTGAAAGTACTTTAAAAGAGAAAGGGGAGGATTTGAATGGCATGCTCATTGGAACAAATCACATATGTTCTTCCTTTCATTTTAGCTCCCACTTCTTAAAGATGAAGTAACCCTTCAGAAGAAAAAGATGCATTAATGGCCAAACATGCCAACTTAAAAAGCTCTCAGCATTAATTACAGAGAAATCTAAGCTGGGAACAGCAAGGAACTACAGATGTATCACACAAGGAAAAGGCCTGTCAGCTCATTTCCAACAAGTCACAGCATGAGCATTCTTTCTTTGTTTTTGGCAACAGAAACAGAAATGCACTTAAATCATTATTTCACAACATGAATTAAATCCAGTTACAGAATTAATCCTTGAGAGAAAGTGTGTGTTGGCAAACCTGGTATATAAACAGAGATAAAAAATATTTGAAATTAAATTTGGAAAAGAGTTTGCTTAAGTAAGTAGTATTAAAATGGCAAATTTTATATACTCTGTAACCAATAAGGAAACATGATAAATGCATGTAACTTCAAAAACAGTACAGTACTACTCTTTAATTTTGTGGAATCTAAAGTTAATACACTTGCATAGTCAATTTTGCAGTTGACTATTTGCTTAGAATTATTTCTACCATTGTTATCTATATGCTGCCTTCTCCTCATCCCACCCCTGGAACGCAAGGGGGCTCACAGTAAAATAAAGCAACACGATAGACACACTTAAAAACACCATAATAAATAAAAAAAATTAAAAAATAAAGATAACAATATTCAAAAACATTGGTAAGAACTCTTAAACCCCCTGAATTTACAAAATGCAGCATTCCTGGAAAGAATGGAAAGAAAGGAAACAAAACCATTACACAATTGGAAACACTTATTTGGAAATGCATGTAGTTTCAGAAATTAGAAAATCAGTATTCAGTAAAGATCATAATTGTTTGAACTGCAGTCTCTGTATGGGCTAGAAAGCCTTATTTCAATTTTTATTTCAACTATGGACTGTTTAGTAATGACTTTAGGCCAAGGGAAAGCAAAGATGTTGCTGGATTGCAGTTCCCAGCATGCTGTGACAGGGGATGTGTTGACTGGGAGTTGCAGACCACTGTCAATATCTGGAAGACTGGATTTTACCCTCCCCTGCGTAGACATATGTCATAGTACTTCTGAGGCCTTTCTTGCTGTGGGTTCCTCAGCCCTCCGGTGGTAGAACAGAAACATTAGTTACAGTGCAGTTTCATATGTTCACAATAATGTATGTGATTTTATGGACAGCCCTCTGATAAGATTTTGAGTGCATTCATGTGATTTCTGGGACTGGGAAATTAGGATGTGCCATGACTGGGACAGGAGCAAACTGGCAAACATCCTTTATTGCTAGTGACTACATTTTAAAGGGAAAATCTTTCTCCCTATTGTTTTGATAGAGAGAACAGGAAACATCAAAGATTTGAGACTGATTAATAAGGCCCAGTGTGTTCTGTTTCTGTTCTCCAAACTATTTGTTGTATGTTTAATGTTTTTTTTTATAATTTTAAATAATTTGAAGTACACTTCTGTACACCAAAACAATTTGTCCATTAGGTACATACATTTTGACCAAAAAGTGGACAGGTTGGATATTCCTAATTTCAGAGCATGAGTTCTGAATTGTATGATGGCAGAACAGAAATCCCACTTCTGTTCTATATTTCTGAAATGACCAGCCAAAGCATGTCAGTCAGATTAGTGAGGCTGGGGATAAATCATATGCATGAACTTGCAGGTTACTGCTTTACCTTTATATGGCTTCTCTCTTGAGGTAAAGGAGTGAAGGTTTCAGGTTTCAAGAGCGCGGGGACATCAATGTCAGCTGTTACTCTGTATGTGATTCTATTTTATACAGTATGATACTAATAGGAAGAGGTGGGGATTTCCTGACCATGTTTCTGTTTTGTTCTTAGTGGGAAAAGTTCTATTTTAAATCGAACTCATATCAGCTTCTTGCTTTGACAACTCACAGTTTTCTGCCTTTACCTGGATATCTCACAGCTGTGATTGTCAGCACCAGGTTCCCTTACTGCTTCTCTGAGGGACTGTCGGTGTTGATCCAGTAAAGTGAACAAAGCCCAGTCTGTCTTTCTAGAAAAGGCCATTGTGAAGCTGAAAGGAGGGGATAATGGGAAAGGTGACATCTATTACAAAGTGGGGAGGGGGGAAGGATGCTACTGGCCCCACCTGCTCTGCTGCTGTTTTTGTGGCCTATAAAAAGCTCACACCCATCCTACCAAACCCCTACTTTTTCCTGTCCCTCAGCACAGTAATTCAAAGGAGTAAGAAAGGCATCATGAGGTAACATGTGCCTGTGTCAAGCAGTGACTGTTTTATGTCCATCTTTTACTGGGCTCAGCCAGATAGCCAATCAAGTGAGGAGGCAGAGGCGGGGCTGAAGCCCTACTGGCTGCTGGTAATTTTTATCCAGAAAGGGGTTTGTGAGGGTGAGCTGTTAAAAGGACCTGTTTAAAAATAATTAGGAGATTCTCCCACCACTCAAAGGGAGTGGTGGAGGGAGGTGGGTGTCTCTCAGCTGATAAATGCTACAAGTAGGGGCATCAGAGGCAGCCCGGCAGCCATTGTTCTTGAGCTTCCCTAGGGCTCATCCTTCCTTCCCCTAAATTAACTTGTTGCCCTCAGGTGTGGTCAAAGACCCTATTATATGAGAATTGTACAGTTTCTAATTGTTGTGCACTGCCTTGGGTCCCCTATGGGGAGAAAGGTCATATATAAGTAACATAAATATATAATAAATTTCCAGGGTGGAAATAATGCTCAGCCCAACCAGTTTCTGAAGAGGACACTGAAGGGGAAAGAATGCTACTTTGTCCTTTACCTCAGAGAACAAAATGTCATTGTGTTTAATGTATAGAGACTTCACTGAGGAAAAAAGTTTTGACTAGATCATAAGTTTCTAGTACCCTGTTTCCCCAAAAATAAGACCTAACTTGAAAATAAGCCCTAGTATGATTTTTCAGGATGCTCGTAATATAAGCCCTACCCCAGAAATAAGCCCCAGTTAAGTGAAACCCTGCCCTCCACCATTGTGCAGCAACCGCAGAAGACATGACTGTATTTGAATAGGTGTAGATGATTGTACAGGAAAAAAAAAATCCCCTGTTAATATAAGACCCTGTCTTATTTTCGGGGAAACACGGTATTTTAAGCTATAACAACAACAATATTTTCTAGTTGCACAGAGCTGGCAGTCCATACTTTTGAGGCAGTCCATACTTTGGAAGAAAGGGTCTCCAAGAAGACCAGGGTCAAAGGGAGTGATCTTTACTAGTCCTGTTTGACTAGCAGGCATATTTCTGGCACGACTGGTAGCTGAGCCATTAGAACCAGAAGTTGGAAGCAATTGAACATGAATTTTCAGAAACTGTGGGATTCTGGGAGTTGCAGTGCAAAGAAAGCAATGTTTCCAAGCTCTGCTTATGACACTGTTTGAATTAATTTTCAGGATAAAGCAGCCGTTTTGAGGCAAGGATTGAAGCCATGCTTGGCTGTGCTCTGATCCCAAAGACAAGGGAAAAGAGTGATGCTGAGGAGAACCGAAGGTTTCTGAAGGGATGGTCTTTCACTCCTGGCATAGCTTCTTGAAAGAGTCAAAGTCAATGGGAGTTTTAAAAAGCTTGTGAGCATATTTTGGGCTGCACTTTTTCTGTCACCTCCACATTTTCTGGCAGAGATTAAGGCAATGCTGTTGCTCAACCCTAGCAATTTTATGTGCCTCACTTAGCTATCCCTCAGGATGAACCACAGCACCTCACACTATCAGACACAAATCTGAACACTATATTGTTGCATTCCTCTACCACAGTTGGAGGGTCATCAGTCCTCCTTCAGCTTCTTGGCTTTCAGTAGTCATAGAACATTATTCAACAGCAGCACCTACTGCATACGTATATAGAATAGAGCAGCAGAAGGCAAGTTCTAATTCAAGGACATGCCCTGCATTCGTGTCTATTTTCCACCTTTCCCCCCATCAGGAATAATACATTGTCATGAGTAGTTGAGTGGTTGCTCTGACCTGCTTTCTCCTCTTCAGTATGTCAGAGACAGGCTTTATATATGGAAGATGGATGGTCACCATGTTTCTTTCTCTCAATTGTGGCGCAAAAGCTCATATTTTTTTCTAGATTGAAATTGCTCATTAACTTCTCTACCACTTTCTGTACTACACAATGTCTTTCACAAGAACTGTTTCGCATCCTTCTCTTCATTAGTCCATATTGACCAAAATCCTATTGCCTACCATAGTAAATTGCACTAATTAGGCCCACTGAATTAGTCGGAATTTGGTGTGTCAGCTTCTCCATAAATTCCATTCAAATAAACCTACTCTAAATACAGTACGGCTTTGTAAGTTGTAGTTACAATGGATTTGAATCAATGGAACTTATGGGAGAGCTGACTCATCAAATCCTCATTGATTCAATGAGCTATACTAGTTTGATTTAATATGCTAATCAACAGCATTTTGGCTGTTGGGTTTTTTAACAGAAGCTGAAGAAGTGAAGCCCCTTATCCCCAAAAATTTACAGCTTAAAATCTGTCAGAAAAGGAGAGGTTAAAATAGCAAGGAAATTGTGTAACTATGTAATTTACAGCTCTTAATAGCCCTTTTCCTTTATTTACTGTACATGTGGGAAAAGCCTAAAGAGTAATTGTGTATAGTTAAAGCCAAATTAAAACTGGATGTTTTTTAAAAAGCATTTTAGACTCTAAGGACACCACAAATGTTTCAGGTTAAATCTCCCCTTTCTGTGAAATCCCTTTTTGCCAAGCCTATACTGTATTGCTTGCCAGCTAAGTTCCAATGTCACACAATTCAACTAATCGAACCTCTAAGACAGAGGTCCCCAACCTTTTTGTGACTATGGACTGGCTGAGCCTCTGAAGAAGGTGGGGGACCCCCTGCACTCATGCGGGCATGTGCATACTCTTGGGCGCATGTGCGCACTCTCTCGGGCACATGCATGCTTTCTCAGGTGCATGCATAAAGCGGTGGGGGAGCCTGCATGTGCCCGCCAGCACCAGCATGAGCACTCCCCTACCCCTTCACGCATGTGCAGGAGCACCCGCGTGCCCGCCCACCCCTTCTCGCGGGCATGTGCATACTCTTGGGCGCATGCGCGCACTCTCTCGGGCACATGCATGCTTTTTCAGGTGCATGCATAAAGCGGTGGGGGAGCCTGCATGTGCCCGCCAGCACCAGCATGAGCACTCCCCTACCCCTTCACGCATGTGCAGGAGCACCCGCGTGCCCGCCCACCCCTTCTCGTGGACACTCGGATGCATCCGTGAGGGGTGGGGGAGTACTTACGCTGGTGCTGACACATGTGTGTGTGCGTGTTTGTGTGTGTGTGTGTGTGTGTGTGCGCAAAGCAGCTGTGGGGAGTGCATGCGGGGGCAGGCGGGAGGTCTGTCTCCACGGTTTGGTATGGCTCAGGCCATGGACTGGAGGTTGATGACCTCTGCTCTAAGAATTCCACCCTTTAAATCCTGAAATGGCACAGTAATTAATCACTGCACATTTTCTTGTCCTGCAATTAAAGTAGTGATTCCAGGATTCAGATGTCTGGGGCATCTGTTCATCACTTAGAAAGAGTCTCCACAAAGATTCCCAAATCAGAAGATTTCCAATAAACTCTTTTTGTCTCTAAATGTATTTATGTATATTTTAAAAGGTTTTGTGATACTCTGCTCTCAAAAGGTGACTCTGTTCCTTGTCAAACAGTATCTTCCTTAATCCAGGGAAGAAAAGATTTTCAGAATTAGACTGTCTGTTACAGAGGCAATGGCTCACTTTTAATCTAAGAACTCTCTTTTCTTGAAGCGTGTATGAGAATAAAATGTTAGATTCCTGCCAAATCTGTATTCTTGATTGAAACATCTAGCTTAAGGACACTGACCAGCACTTGGGGTCTATGGGAAGCATACAGTGCCAGGTCAACCATGCTGAGCAAATAGTCTTCTGACAAAACAGTTCCTAACAATTTGTTGCTTAATTCAAATAGCTTTGAAAAACTTCAGGTACTCGTATTCATACTCTCAACTGAAAATACCACTACTAAATGCCAGGTCAGTGCATGGTAAAATAACATCCATCCAAGACTTAATTCTGGATAAGCATCCTGACTTGCTTGAATTATAGATACTTGGCTGGAATATAGAAACCTAGTTGGATAAACCTCTCTCTGTGTGCATGTGAGTAGGTAATCTCTTTGAGCTCTGCACTCCTGGGTTCTCTGGCAGCAGCAGGTGAGACCTAGGCAGTTGTCTGTTGACTGCAGCGCGCTTACTAGGTACCACATCCTGTAGTGTGCTGGAGTAAATCTATACAAAAATGGGGGCCCAGGACATAATATGGATTGATGTACTGTACCACACACCCTTCTGTTCAACAGTGCAGTATTCCTTTCTGAACTAGCACTGTTGGTCTTGGAGATGACACTGGAGTCTTCTTGGATTGTCTGGTGGATGTATTATGGCATATCCAGAATTAGGTTAACATTATCTTTTTTTTCATGGGGTTGCTGTGGGACCATGTGTCTTTCTGAAGGATACATTGGCTGGCTTTTCTCTCATATGGCACAGTAGGGAATGAAACACCCAATTCTAGGTTCTCCATCTCCCTGAGCTATTCAGTTGACTTACTGACTTCACTGCTTATCTCTAAATTAATTGCAGTGAAATCCTAACTCAAACATGCATCAGCTGTAGAGGAATTTAAAGAGTCAGAATCTTCTTCTTCCAGTAGAAAAACTTTTATATTATCAGAAGTGCCATTTTGCTGGTAAAATCTCCTGGAGGAGAGGCTGCCAACATAACTGCATTAATTACCAAAATCTGTCAGAGTAAGAATCAGAAAAAAGGCAGATAATAGGAGGAGAAAAGGATCAGAATTATTTTTATCCAAAGTCCCTCCATCTAGGGAGTATATCTGCTATGGCAGCACAAATTTAAACCAAAATTATCTTCAGCACAGCTTCAGCTGGCCTTTACTGTAGCTGTCTGTGCTAGTTAAGACTGCATTTGAAAACTCAGATGTAGCCCACCCTGATAGTAGCAAGGTAATTCTCAAGTTCTTTTTCCTTTTCTTTTAATTCCAGTAAAGCCTTGGGCTCTGACATGAAAGAAAGGGCTGCAATTAACGAAGAAACAACAAAAGAAGAAGGAATCAACAAATCCCTTTAAATTAACACACCTTTCTTATGGCCTTTAGGTATTTTGAGATCATGTAGAAAATATTTATGGAAAACCCCTGTAGCACAACCTAAGAACTCCATATCAAATGTAAGTGTTTCAAGGCTTGTTTGATATACAGGCTGACAAGTATATGTCAAGGGCTTGAATAGCACCAACAAATTAAATTGCACACCACAGGGAGAGTGTTTTTAAACCTCCTCCTCCTCTTTGGTACACCATAAAATATCAACTGAAGTGAGGCATGACTTTAGAATTGAACATAATTTCCTGAATTGCCCTTATCAGAAGATATAATGTTAATCACAACTTGTATTTTAAAGTGTTTTTCTAGTTCAGATTATCACATAATATAATATTCATCAATAGGCACATCTGAAACATTGGGCAAGTTCCTGTTGCTTAGCATTGTGCCCTCTGTAACCTGGATCAGGTACTGGAAGAACTCAATTTACACAAATTAAAAGCCTCCTATTGCCTGCTTTAGGTTCTGACGTTCCCTAGGGCTCCCTTTTGCCCAGGGGAAGGTTTTGGGAGCCTCCGGATGGTTGGGCGAAAGCCTTTAAAAGTTAGAAATTCCTGCTGGACAGCCAGTGGTGGTCTTGATCCACTGGACAGCCAGTGGTGATTCTTGATTACCACTGGTCAAGAAACTGCTTGCAGCCAAATCCACCATTGGCTCTTCACTTCTAGTCCATTATGCCATTATGTTCTTACAGGTGCATTGAAATGTGTTCATGTCCCTTCTGGGGCAAAATTCAGTGTTTAAAGACATGTACAAAAGGAATCCAGTTGCTTCCTGTTCTTAAAATCTGAAGAAGTTGAAAGAAAATGTAACAGTGAGGCATGAAAGAATTTCCCTGGTCTATTTCTATTATTTCTTAGTTTCTTATGGCTGTGAGAAAATGTTGAAGAAAAATGCTTTCCATGCATTGGCAGATTTGTCTGTGACCAAGTTAGCTAGTATGGGAACCAGACTTATCACCTGCTGCTTACATGGAAAGATGCTGATCTTTTTTTAATGAACAGGGCCTCTAGCATAGAAACAGAAGATGAAAAGTCATTCACAGCAAAGAGCAGAAAGAGGGCATATCCTTTCTGATTTGATATGCCTTGCTTAAAGAATAAAATCCAATACATTTTAGATTACATAACATTTGAATGAGAAACACCTGCAGGTAATTTCATATCCATCAGTGCAATAGATGGATTTTATTCTCCAACTATTGTTCTTTGTTTTGAATCTTAAAGCCACTTATAGGTCCGACAGATCCTTTCTTAGTGAGAACGAATTTATGTCTAATCTCTGTCATGTTGATTTGCAAATCTAACTTTCAAGATGCTTACACTTTTTATACCATGAGATAGAAGAGACAAAACAATAGCAAGAAACTGTAATAATGAGGTATACTTTGTCACATAAATCAGTGTTAAACGTGAATGTGTACATGTTGTAGCTCACAAAGGCCTTTGCCATGTTAGCAAAATACGGAAAAACAAAGGATAAAATATTGTAGCTCTAGAATAAATTTGTATCAGAGGAGCTTTCACAGATAAAGTATTTATATTATGTATTTATACATATTCACATAAAAGATCATGACCAGGTGAGGGTACAGACAATAGACAAAGTCAGTGTATCAGTGATCCGGAAATAAGATCAACAATATGTTAATTATTTTAAATTGCTGGTCATAAACTGTATGCCAGAAAGATTTGGCTCTTGTAGAAATGCTAAGAGTTGTTTTTGAGCACAGGTCAGATATGTCAAAGATGATAACTATTTTATCCTATGTAACATATTACATAAACTTGGGTTATTAGTATGAGTACGGTAATGTGCTAAGAAGACTTGGTCTTTATTTAGGTCTTTACAACTGCTCTGAAATGTGTTCGTGTAGCTAATTTCTGCTGTTTCCCTCTTCAGTCTCCCTGATTGGTTGGTTAGTTGATATCCTGCCCTTCTCCTTTTAGAATCTAAAAAGAGTAGGTATACAAATATTTTAAAAGAATTAAACAAGTATTACATTAAAAAGAATAATAAAACCAATACTAAAACATATTTAAAACAACAGAGCACAACCATTAATTTTAAAAAATCCTCTCAGACTACCAGTTGTTAAGGGAAAGCCTGTCTGAATAGAAAGGGCTTGGCCGGCTTGGGGAAGAACAGCAATGATGGTTACAGCCTAGCTTCCCATGGGAGGGAGTTCCAGAGTCTGGGAGCAGCAACAGAGAAGGCCCTCTCCCATGTCCCTACCAAGCTCACCTGTGTGGGTGGCAGGACTGACAGAAAGGCCTCTGCTGATGATCTTAAAGCCCAGGCAGGTTCATAGAGGGAGATCCCTTTGTAATTCCCTTTTTCTGGAATCCAGGAAATGCTTACTGTAAACCTTTGAGTTTTGAGTTTCTGTTCTGTGGTTCTAAGCTAATTTAGTTATATGAGATAGATTGTTGCAAACACAGGTGGTGTGTTTTGGATGGAGGACAGAGGCATGTACAGCCAATGGGCCTCTGATACAGCACCGATAAGTTCTTTCTTTAGTTGCTCAATGGTATCCAGAAAGTGTACTTGTTGGGTAAACTGGTCTGCGTTTAGGTTAACAGAAGAATCAAAGTTATTGAAATGCTGGTGGAATTCCTTCAGCTCAGTGATTAAGGTATCTTGCTCTGGAGCAGAGGATAAATATCATTGCTGAAGGTGAAATAGATAAATGTTAGTACAAACCCATGTAGCTGTATTTGCCATGGCAACATTTGTAATGCTCATGTGAATATTTTTAAACTTTGAAAATAAATGTTTCAGAATTGCCAGAAATTATGGGCCACCTGATACTGCATCATTTTATTTATTTGCTGCTTGATGAGTCAAAGCTAAATATGAAAATGGATTTATTTAAAACAAATGGTTGTGACAAATTCTTAGGAATAGTTTGGTCAGGGGGGCGTACACTGTAAGAGGTGCAGTGGGAAGGAAGAGGCAGAAGAAGCCTGTTCTGTGAGCTTCATTTGAGCAATCTCAACTGAAATAAAGGTTCTGTCTCTTATGGCTCATCCAAAGATGCATGTACATTTGTAAAGCAACTACTGTACACTGTTGGATTTGAAGCATTCTAATTCAGTAACTAATATCTGGTGCTCTCATATGAGTTTTGGCATATTCCTTCAAACAGTGTGGCTGAAATTATATATCTATAATCAACACTTCAAAGATCATCTTGCCAAGCCTCCACCAGATAATCAGAGGGGTTGTGACTCTAATTGCTGTGTGTGTGATTACGGAAAGCTTTGGAAAATAAGAAGTAATTAGCATACTGTATATTTGACTGCAGAAATATGAGACTGAGCCCCAAGAAACTATTCTGGTGGCCTTCTGAAGAACATCTTGAAGTCTGATTTGTGTCCATACATTCAGATTTTGCTGAGCTGTATCAGATGGATCAAATGAGTCTAAACTGAATAACTAAACAAAATGTTTGTTAAGCTGAGCATACTGCTGAAATAGGAAAAATAGTCATATCACATACAACTGGAATTTTATTATTAACCAGAGCATTTGTAAATAAAAATTTAGCATATTTATACATATTAGGGAGTTGGAAGTGACAGTGAAACCCAAAATAGATGTGAGAAGCAATACATGACTGCTGTGAAATTGCATATGACTGCTGTGAATCCTCATTACCTCTCCAATAATATCCAGTTCAGGAGTGGAATGGGGGGTTGGCCATTAAAAAAAGGCAAGAAAATATTAAAATAAAAATGAAATAGCAGGTAACTTCAGCGTGCAGGCCTGTAGAGAAGTCTTCTGCGAGTCCTTTGTTTTGGCTTTTAGGTCCTCTAATCTATCTTCTGTTTGGAGCCACTACCAGGTAAGCTCAGAAGTCAAAAACAAGGATATAGTCACAGCAATGGAGAATGATGGTCCTTCAAGGTGTTAGTGTTGACATGTAAAGCTGGAAGTGTTCATCTTAAGTGTCTTTCATAGTTTCATTAGTTCCCATGAGTTATTCTTTCTTGATAGGTAACTGTAGAGTGATTTATTTTTGTCCATTACTTTTCTTTTGAATTTAATCAGTATTAAAGCAGAAGAAGAGGAGGAGGAGGAGGAAACTTCTTTGCACAACCTTTAATTTGGGTGTGATCAAGATTAGAAAGATTAAAGAAAATTTGATCTGTATGTAAATTTCTTTCAGCACTAAAATGCCATGGGAAACTGTTGAACTGGTTTCTCCAACTTGTTAGCTGATCTCCTTCAATGAAAGCAACTATACAAGCAATTTGTATTTTGCTATAACTTCTCCTCGGCCAAAAGAGAAAGCACAAGAATTGGTACCAAATATTTTTGTGCCGGTAGACAAATAAATGGCCCAAAGTAGCATGACTTCAGATGCAGCAAAGGGCTCATGCTGGGTACCATAACATTTACAACTGGGTTGCTGTGAGTTTCTTCTTCAGACTAAGCTTGATTTCTTTACATCTTCCTTTCTCAACCAATACACCTCTGCTTCATATGCGATGCTGTGGCCCATTGCAGTATACTCTTCATTTAGACTATAGGCTACTCCTGAAATTCTGTGCTGATTTCCTCTTTGATCATCAGCTTCCCCCTATGATTTAGCTGACTCCCCCCCTTTAAACTTTTTAAAAGCATCTTGACTAACTGAATATTAAATTGAATTAAATTCTTGTTTAGAACTTCTTTAGAAAATCAGTTTTTTGTTATTTTAACTTGGTAGATTGGTCCAGGGAATGGAAAAAAGCTACTTTGTGATTATCGCAAAGGACAGCCAATTAATAACATGCACAAGGTCTTTAGCAGCAAACAGAAAGAATGTCTAGAATTCATAGTTGTGTAGACACTGTAGTAAAAACCTAGAAGATAAGAGAACCATGACACTATTGTGTTCACTAATTAAAAAAATCATTTTATGGTTTCTAGGTAAAAAGACTCAAATGTTTCATCAGTGATCTACAGCCTATTCTGTACACATCTTTCTTGCAGGCCTTATGTAGTTAGCTCATACTTCTTCAAAAACAGCTGCTCAGTTTTAAAAGACTACTAACAGTCCTTGCATTTTGTGCTGAAA